CTTCAGCGAATTTTCAATTAGACAGTTCGGAATAACGCCGCGATACAAGAAGCTCGCAACCCCCCCACACAGTTCAATCTTTAAATTATTTCTAATTTTTCCTGCGCTTCCATGCTGCTCCAAAAATACTCGATACTACCTGTGTCATATTTCGGAGATAAGACTCTTCATAAAGAATTTACAGTCGATACATTCCAGTGTCAAAGAATCAGTTTTACCGCCACCCTCAACTCAAGAGGAAAACACTGTCAAGAGTGTGTGCAATAAAAATGTGGAAGGTATCATCAGGACTACGTCGGCTTCCTGCGTGACGGGCTACATCCGATGGACGATATAATTGATGGTAGTCGTTAAAATTAGGCGGCAAAATCAATCAATATTTTACGATCGTTAATAATCACCTGAGCACACGCTCTGTGACACGTTAATTGCTGCACGGTGTTATATAGTGCTACGCGGGATCGTTTATCATCCGGCCTACTGACTTACAACAAAGTAGTCATTGAACGTACGCGAGAGTAAGGGCTATGGAATTTATGCGTAACGTCTCAATCCTACTGTCTCTCTCTCCCTCGGGAGAGAGACTCGCTCCTGACTGATATTGAAATGTCTCCGCAGACCTTGGACGTTGTCGCGACGTTGTCCACGCTGCTGGAATAAAATTGATCGCGGCGAAAACGTTCGGTGCTCGCGGTATCCTAACGACGTATCCTTTTTAATCACTCCGATTTAGCCGTGTTAACGATCGAAAATTTCACGATACATCCGAAAAGGGTTTCCTCGGCTTTTCCGTGCTGCTTTCGCCGCAAATGTACGTGACGTTTAATGGAGGAAATTATGTACGCTATATTTGACCGGCGGCGCAGAGAGAACCTTGTCTCCGGTGTCAGGCTATATATTCCGTTTAAAGAAATCTGACACATTGTACGTGTCAGACACGTAACACGATGTGCTGCTCCCGCCGCATTCGAAATATCATCGCGGAAAGCACGAGCGAATTCGATTGCGCGCTGAAGCGATGCTTCACGGCCCATCATAGCGCTCCTTCGCGGTAGAAACGGATTAAGCTTATTCCTTCGGCTCTATTCCGGCCGCGAGATAAACGCGCCCGGTCATACGCGGACAACGTTGCGACAGTAAAACGCGCGTGGTTTCGAAGGGCCTCTAGATAGGCCGAAGGACCCTCATTTGCTACTACGACGCTCCGAGAGCGGTAATGTTTTCCTTCCCGAGCGGGCCGCTTGATTTATTTTATTGCTTTTGGCCTAACGTTCGGCGTTTATTTCGTCGAATTACAAGAAAGGGGTTGCTCGCGCCAGTCGCTAAAAGGCTGCGCGCCCTGCCCCGCCGCGCCTCCAAGTCCGCAGCCTTATGCTATTCCCAGTTATAATTTATATCGAAGATGCCCGCGCGGAGAGCATCGAGATGGCGCGGACAAAGAAGTCAAGCGGAAGATTCAAGGGAGAAATAAGAATTCGCTCGGAGATCCACTTGGCGACGGTAAGATCGACAGTCGGACCGGAGTGCGCGCTAATCGCGTTCTGGCGCGTCCCGCGAGCGCGACTGACGGACGAAAAAAGCACGGAGCCTGAGTCCTGACGTGAAATCAACTTATCGGGACTTCAACGACGAATATCTCCGGTTAGGCTGGAATAAACGAGCTCGTGCGAGCACGGCGGAATTAGTCCGGATATCCGCGAAAGGCGGAAAATCGATGTTTAGCTCGATGCCAGGGCGCAGGAAAGAGAAAAGCTCCTCCCCCCGCTCGGCATCGTTCACCATCTTAATGTTTGCGATGGTGTTACGGTTGTGGGGTTGCTATGATAATTGTAATGAACGCCTCGAGATTCCGCGAGCCCATCTGCGCCCACGCGTTTCGGCCCGCCTGCCCCCGTCGCCCCGTCCCGCCCCCCGCCCGTTGACTTTGAGAGGCGAAACGAACGAGCAACGTTCTCTCTGTACAAACTCGGGAGCTCTTAAGTACCGAACTTGTTCGAATTGATTTAAGTGCTGAATGCTAAATCAACCGAAGGGCCCACCCTACACCGGCCGGCGAGAAAGAGCGCGGCTCCGCGGAGGGAAGGAGAGACGCGAGGAGAATTTACGAGTCGCGCGGGCGCGCTCGCGCGCGCGCGAGCGCGGAGTCTCGCGTTCACGTGTAGTATCCTCTCCTCTCTCTCTCTCTCTCTCTCTCTCTCTCTCTGCGAGGAGAATCGACCCGACGGTGTCGACCCCTCGGTGTAATCAGTATTTCGCGTGGATCAGATGCAGTTTAATGTAAAGGTAGGCGGTGTAACTAGCCTTTGTTCTCCGGGAGGCTTCCGGAGGACAGATAATCGGAGATGTATAGTCTCGCCGAGGTAATTAGTTAAGCGTGTAAAACAGCGCCCTGCGAGGATACGCGCGATTATTTATATCGTGGCGTGCAAATAATGCCGGTAATAAAAGCACGAAGGGGGATGCGTTCGCGAACGCGCTCGCGCTCGCGCGCGCACGAGCCATTTACATCTTGGATTAAGCATATTTTTTTAAAAAGACGCACAGCCTGTGACGTTGAACTTATGCGCGGGCGAGATTTATCTCGCGCCGGGAGGGTCAGAGGGACACCGTGATATCGGCCGATCTCTATCGCGCAATCTCTCCCTCTCTCTCGCGTTGTATCGCGCGCTATTGATTACGCGGCTCGGAATGCGCTATTATAAGAGCGCATAATAAATGATCCGCGCCGTAATTGCGCGAAACTTGGCTCAAGCTATTGAACGATGCGGCATTCCGTGATCCGTAATTTATAACCGAACTTCATGTGCCTTGTGAATGTAATTACGTTATCTCGCGATAATTACTTCATTTTCCGCAGTCTTCTTAGCTTACGGCTAACGCTCTTGCGGGACGGTAAACTCGGGCAAGAGGATGAAACGATTCTTGAACTTAGCATACTTTAGACTCGCGCAGCGAGTTTTGCGGCGGATCTGACGCGAGCTTTACAACTCGACTCTCAAATACCGGGGGATCACTGACGCTTCGGAGCACGGCATTTCGCAAATTATGCGTCACTTTCGTCAAAAAATTACTCATCTTTTAGACTCGAGGGAGCTTCGTTACCACACTCTCGTTAAACTCCTGACGACGCATCGTGAAGAAAGGGAAAAAGAAAAAAAATTCTCTCGCGAATTGCGAATAATCGGTGAGTGGGAAGTGCTAATTCGCAAGGATAATCTTGTGAATAATTTTGTGAAAAAATCAACGGCACGTATGCGACGCATACGTAATCTCGTTAATAATCTCAACACGTCGTTCATCAGCCTAACTTGAAAGTTTCTTACAACCCCCCCAAATCCTTCCACCCCCCGCTCATGACGGAGAGAGAATATCGTATTCAATCGCCATCCTTATACAGATAATTTGTGCGACACGATCATTCACGGACGTCACCAGCGCGGCAATTAACCGTCGCCCGAGATAACCGCGTCTGGGATCGACTTTACGAAAATACGATTACGAGATTACGGTCTAAGGTCAAGTAGGAAAGACTTCCAGGAGTACAAGCTCCCTTCTTCGTCTGTCTTCGAAACTTCTGCCTCCGCACTCTTTGCTTTATACTTTATTGCTCTATGCGCTACGGTACGCGCGAGAATATATCCGCGATGACATACGCGCGTTTTATTACGTGAAAGATACCGCAAGACGCGCGCTATCGCGCGTCGTATCGAATTGCTTTTCGTATATAACGTATTTCATATATAATATATTCATATACTTCATATTTCATATAAAATATTTCATGTATAACTTCGCATTCTTATATCTTATAAAAATACGCGCATTGTTTCAGAAAATCTTATAAATTTCGCACGATGACTCGTCTCATCGGCAATCAATGCGATTTACGTCTACTGGTTGCATGCACTACGTGAAGTGGCGCCTTTTAAGCGCTCAAATTGTTCACTTATCGATTCACCGGTCCCGCGTTGTCCAGCCAGTCCAAGTCCAGGTCCAGTCCAGGGCCAGGTCATCCAGCTTCCGGCATATTCCGTAGCTGTCGTCGTCCCACGCCGGTCGCACCACGCTTCAATTCACTTCGCTGTATTCGCGACCGCGATAATATTTTACGACGGTGACACGGATAGGTCGTAAATTTCGAAAAGATTATTCTGATACTTCAAGAACGGACTAACCAGTCGCGCGTAAACAAACAAACCATGTTGTGACCGACAACACTGAGCGCGGAAAAAAATATCACGCACCGCGAACGCGATTATGTCCATTGTGTGTCGACAAGCGAGATTCTATTTTCGCGTATTAAAATTCTAACTAACGTTTAAATTTCAACTTATAACGGTAACGACCCATATACGCGTCGAATTTAACATTTCGAGCGAAATAATATTATAATACGACACGTGTGGAAAATTACTGAAATTTTTGCAATGATTTCCGAGATATATATGTCGAAATATGTAAATTCTGCGCTATTTATATCTCTGACTTTGCGACGATTGCTAAATTTATCGCGAGCAAAATAATCGCGTATTTCGCGTGTTATGGCGCAATTTTGAGGCGCCAATATGAGGCACGATTCTGAGGCGCCAATATCAGGCGCCAATGTGAGGCGCCAATGTGAGGCGCCAATGTGAGGCGCCAATGTGAGGCGCAATTTTTAGGCATACGGCACAAACATACAAAATCCTACACTGAGAGAAAAGTGTTTGATACTTGTGACTTTTTTTTATTGCATGACTAATAAGCTAATCTCAATCAGAAAACCCGTTTTTACAATAAGTATCTGTTACAACGTTATTAGTAGTAATCGATCGTGCATAATGTTATTATTCTTTATTTAAAAAAAAATAAACAAATATAGCCAGTGGTGAAAATAATTGTAATTGGTAATAAGATTAACGATTTCTTTCTCTCAGTGTACATGCAAAAATCTACGAACTATGTAAATCGCATTATTTTCGTATAAAAATCAATCACCAAAATCTTTGTTTCTGACTCACCAAAGTACCAGCAGATCAGAATCGGCCACATTCTGCTACATACGCTACATGGAACAAAAAAATAACATCGTCGATTAGAGATAGAGATTAATTATTTAAGAAAATAGGCGTATTCAGAAAAATACGTGTGAATATGAGAATGTTATATTTTCACGATCGTTGCGATTCAACGATCTAAAGCTTCGACCTCTAAGCAACGTCCTTGTTTACGATCGTAAAATGTTTCATACAAGAGTACAGGAGGTTTATAAACTCACCTTCGAGCCGATCCCGCTTGGCCCGAGCCGAATCCTTCGGCACGGCATTGTTTACACGTCTCGCCGAATCTGTAACAAAAACAAAAAAAGGTGTTTAATATAAATACAAAGAGATGCGAATACGTTAATAGGAGCGGCTCAATACTGTACGTTTAATTTTTAGTTTAAAAAGACGCGAATATTAATACAAGAAAATGTGAATCGTCAAGAATACGGCGGTTGTACATTCACTTTTTTTATTATTTAACTTTTATTATTTAACTAACCTTCGCGTCGGTCCTGCCTGGCCCGAGCCGGGTCCTCCGGCACGGCATCGCCTGCACGTTTCGCCAAATCTGTAACAAAAGACAAGTGTTGTGTTCAGTAATATAAAAAGATGCATCGTTACTATACATTTCACTTTATACTTTAAAAAGACGCGGATATTAATATCAAGGAAATGCGAATACGTCAAGAATACGGAAAAGTGACTGCTACCTTTGAGATTTATGGATGCTGCGATTGTAACAAATTATCCATGCACTATTATCACGCACACATACACATTAGCGTATACACACACACATATATATATATATGCGCGTACTCGCGAAAAAACGTGACGCGTCTCACGTCCGGCCGATCGATTCCGGAAATTTCGGGAGCCCTGCCCGATGTCTCCGTTCTGTTTAGCGGCGCGTCATTGACTGATAGCTCGACGGTCATACCTGCGTATAATATTGCTCCGCGGTCACGTGACCCAAGATACACCTCAGAGCACTTTTACGACACTTGTTGGTTCGTTTCACATTTTCCGATAATCGATAATCGATATTTACGATAATACGATTGATTTCGTCGTTCTCTCATCGTAATACGGACATTACTTTGAGCATTTAAAGTACATAATATTAATAAATAAGTACATAATATTTCACGACACTCATCAATTAATTTCGTATTTTCCGATATTTTATATTCAATATTCAATATTCAATTACGAAATTTTCAAACGCAAAATCGCCGAGATGCGTAATCCCCATGATGACATATTTTACACGCAATGCTTTCAGGTAACAATGAGACGATGCCGTCTTTTTAATAAAGGACGTGTCGCGAGTCACAGAAACGGCTCACAGGAGCGAGCAATTTTCGTAAATCAGAAATATCGCGGGAGGGTAGAAGCGCAGGAGGGAGGGTTTCTGAAATCGTACGTTCCGGGGAACGTACGTGGCCACACCGCGATGGCTGGTCGTGTCGCGTCTACATCGCGTATGTAGCCGGAGGCGCGTTATCTCGTTGAGCAATGACGTCGGACTTTTTTTTCACGTAGATCTTATCCGCGGATCCACGCGGATTCCGGTTGAGAGAGTGTGAGAACATCCACGGGACCGGTAACGCGGCGGAGACGGTCGTTCGTCGGCAACGCGCGCTTTCGTGACACGGCGAGCGGCGAACGAGATCTCTCGACGAGAGTTGGCGGGACATCCCGCCAAGGGTCGCGATAGTCTTTGCTTCTGATTTCTGAGCAGCCACGAGAAAGAAAGTAATCGCTGAAATCGCGGCTCTCCCGTCTCGCTCGTTGCCCGTTTCCAAGTATACGCTTTGCTTCGCGCGCAGGGAAAACGCGGCAAATAATATCCGCGAGTAAACGAGCGAAGATATCACTCGCCGCCCGATTCCCCATCGCCGCGCGTATCCGCGCTATTGTCGTTTCCCGCGGGCGCGAGATGGATCGCTTCGCAATTGGCTGCGAGGCACGCCGTCTCCTCCGTTACCGAAGGCCAGCCCCGACGAAATGATTGAAATACGTCCGCGGCACGAGGTAAGAGTACAGGCCCGCTAATATTGCCCTTATACGGCGACAGCGGTAAATCCGCGCCTGAGCGCAGAAGAAACTGCCCGAGCGACGTTAATTTGTGAACAATTACAGGCACCTGCTGCGTACACACCGGCTTATGCCCGCTGCACGGGCCCTCGGGAGACAAAGACGCGCGAGAGGGTTCCGGGGACGCGCCATAGCGGCCATCGCCGCATTCTTTCCTCAGGCGCGGATCTAACCACGGTGACACGCCGGTGTTTTCCTACGTGTCTCTTTGATCCTCCGAGCCGACGACACCGGGCGTTTCGTATCGGTGTGACATCGCGGCGCAAAGTGCCCGAGAGAGAACGAGAGGAAGGGGGTGGGGTGGGGGGGGGAGAGGACAGGGAAGTCTGCTGGGAGATTGTTTCTCAAAGCGATCCTCTCTCGAATCGAGCGAAAAAAGAAACGATGGAAATATTCGATCGAGCAGCCAATCGCGACGATTAGCCGCAAAAGTCGCGGCGCCGAATTTTGGTCGCACAATGCGTGCGAAATGCGCGCTCAGAATGCGGCTCAGAGCAAGCAGACTTCGGTGAGAACCTGTTCCCGACCGTGGCACACATTGCGAACCTACGGAACACGTAGTCGTTAATAATTCGGAGCTTAGGCATGTTTATGTGAGAAAACAAATCGCGCGAGTGGCCGCGCGAACAAAAATTCCTTTCCCCTTTCGGCATCGACCGCCAGGTATTTTGCATACCGGACGTTTGTCTCGGCGGATCGATGTTTCGCGCGATGACACGTGTGTCGTTTTTCTTTCAAGAAACAAATAAGGATTATATAAAACCCAAGCGTCTCCACAGCGTGGAGGGTCGACGACAAATTACGCGGACGTGGAATTTTTCGCGACGAGAAGAGCATTTAGTCGCCGAGCAATAAATTCCGCGGGTTCCCAATGTCGCGCCAAAATAGTTGCCTATAGGTGCGCGCGGATGCGCGAACCGCTCTACATCGAAAATTACGGGAAAACAAAGAATTTAGGCGAGACGCCAGCGAGCGCGATCGTCATAGCACTTTGGATGATTGCGATTAATTAATTTTACTCCGAGTCGAGACACTTAGTTTCCGTTCGTTTAAGCTCGTTAATACGCTATCCTCTCCCTCCCCCTCTCTTCCTCTCTCTCTCTCTCTCTTCCTCTCTCTCTCTCTCTCTCTCTCTCTCTCTCTCTCTCTCTCTCTCTCCATTCTCGTCTCCCTCGCAGTCTCCGCGCGTCTGTCCTTCTTTCTCCTTCAACGCTTCCTTCAACGCACTGCAGAAACGACTCTCTCAGTTTACGCCGTACATGTAAATTCATCAGCTGCATCATGCGTTCCGCGAGGAACGACCTCCGCGAGCGAGCGATCTACTCGCCAAGCTCTCCGACCGTGGAGAACCCTGAAATTTGAGACCGTCGTCGTAAAAACAAGAGGAAAAAAAATATATCACGCTTGAAAATCAGATGTTTCGCATTGTGTGAGTTCAGCAGGAGTCGCGCGTCGAAACTGTCTCGTTTAGTTAACAAACGGAAACTTCTGTAATGGCTCGCGCTTTCGAGAATCGAAAGACCTAATCTAACGCCCGTAACTTCTCGACGGCGGCGGTGGCCGGCGAATTTCAGCTACTTTGATATCTGTCTTTAACAGCGCGGGTCATCTAATGAAATTAATGGCGAGGACTGATCCTTCTTCCCTGCCGACGCGCGGTGCCGTGGGAAGTCGTTCGCGGGTCATCGCTGGTAACACGTTGACGGCGACGTTTGTCGACGTGCATTTACCTGAACGGCTTCTTCTTCTCGCCTCGAAACCGCTCGTAAAAGTTCGCCGGCACGATGTACCTACGTGATGATAATTGTCGAGATTAGGACGACGAGAAGCCCGATGCTCTCTCTTTCTCTCTCTTTCCCTCTCTGTGCCTTTCTCTCGCACTCTTTCTCGAGCTAGTTAAAAGTAACGGCGCGTATTCAGCAGATCCGTACTGGCGATTCAAAATCTCAGCGTTTTACGGCAGAATTCAAAACCGGTGTGGCAGGTGTGTGACGCTCTTGGCCTCATAATTACATTTAATTTTTAGTGAGGTTTACGAAACGACCCGAGCCGCGCTCGGAATGAATGTTTAATGGGCAGATATTATCAATGAAAAATCCCTCGCGTGCATTATTGTCTCGATTTGTTTCTTACTTTCGTTACTTTCTTATCAGCGCGTATCAAGCAGCAACGAAAGGAAATTTCGCTTCGTCAATTGTCTACTGTCCAATTAAAGAAAATATTTCTCCAGTATTCGCGTTGCGAATGTTCACATTAATTTATATTGTATCGTCCTGAGAGAACGCTCAAGCCATTTGCGTGAATCATAAGGTGGGGCCTAAAAATATCTATATTAACGGTATCCAACCGCTCGAGTATCACCCGGGTACCTTTATTTCCTCCAAGTACATTTCGAGTACCCGACGATTTCGCACAGGTTACTCGCGAGTACACGCCGGCGACAAATGGCGAACGGACGTTACTCGCAATTCCTGGCTCCCAACATCCGCGTGCTCGATTATTTCGTGCAACGGCCGAATATCCTGTCGAGTAACGCATTGGCAAATTTCAGCATCGGTCAGACGGTCGAGCAGCCGAATTACCGATCGAATTACCTGCGGCACGCCGGCGCAACGCGCCGTGGACCCACCCTGAAAAAGCAACGACAAAACTCGCGACAGTTCACACGAGCCGCGGCAGCCGCGCAGCGGCCGCTGCACAATTTCTTCGTACGAGGAAGTTATGCGCTCGCGGCTTATGAGAATCGCGATACGTAAATGACGGTTGGGGCATTACATAAAATGGAAGTTTAATTGAAGCCAAACAATAATGCGATGTGCGCGAAACCATGCGGGTCAGGAATGGCATTCGTTATGTGTCTCTGCAGCTCTCTCACTCTCTCGCCTCCTCCTCTGCCCTCTTCCCCCCCCCCGCCCCGTCCTCGCGCGCCTCTCCTCTCCGCAATATCCATCCCTGTCCCTCCCTCCCTCCCTCTCTCTTGTATTCCCTCATTCTCGTCTGCTCGCTCGCGCGCATGTCTCCATGTCGAACGTATTAAATTTCATATATCGCCTCTCCCTTCGCGAGGCTTACACTCCCACGATGCGCAATTGCTCGCATTCCCCGCAATCTAGAAATCTAGATCACTATTAATTTTATATCCTTCTCCTCCTACGATCCTCCTTCCTCGCTCCACCCCTCTCCCGCTCCCGCGGCTGCCCCCTCATCGCCGCCGCCGCCGCCGCCGCCGCCGCTTCGTCGGCGCTCCGAGCAGCCGACGAGCTTGCACAATTGTGCATTAGCGAGATGTTGCTTTCTGAGCTGCGAATCGTTACTAAAATCGTCGAAGGTTTATCTGATTTTCTTGAAACGCGCGCGGTAAATCGTGGCCTCTTGTCGCGAAGCGACACTCGATGCTTTCGTTATTACTTCGTTACCGTTGAACCGTCTGCGTGAATCCGAGCGATGCAAGCGGACCGAATATAAAAT